GGGGGGGGGGGGGGGCAAGCAAAGATCACATGTCCATAGTGTACAACAAGGATGCATAATGGGCGTAAAATAGAAGTTTTTTTTGTTGTTGTTTCAAATGTTGATTTTTGCCGCCGCTGTTGTGCTCGAATGTGGGCAGAATATTGATCCTGTCAATATATATACAACTGTGATATAATGAATACGTATTTCTGGTTAGCATGCTGGAAGTGGTACGTCGTCAGCAAATACACCGTGTCTTTCGACTTGGCAGGAGGAGGAGTTTCTGCCTTGATTACATCGCTTAAGAGTAAAGACAGATTCCATGGCTGCTAAGTGAATAATATAAACATCACTGTTTTTCTTGCTTTATACCTACTTTAATAAAAACCGGATTATATCCATTATGCTCTTATTATTACCATAAAAATGTTAATAATAAATTTATTTAAATCGCTAATTAATGATTTAATTCGCCTTATATATAAAGTGATTTAAAATATATTATTAATATTTGTAAAATCATTCTTCCAGCCTTAAGTATATAATAAATTAAAGCTTATAATGCTATTTTGCAAAAGCATTCTTTTTATTTTAAATATATTATAAATTAAAACTCTTAATATTATTTATAATAATATAGCATTCGCTTCGAATTTAAATATAAGCAATAAAAATGCAAAAATAATGGTTGTAAACATTATTTATAGAAAAAAAAGGAATGAGGTCCGAACGTGGATCGAACACGTGACCTTAGGATAGCTGCTTAAAGACTGCAATCCCACGCTACTATAATCGTTGTTAGAATCGAACGCTTGTCTTCGATGGAGACTTGTATAACTTACTACCACTTAGCTACCGAACCGATTTGATGAAGTGGTTCCTATGAGGGTCTATAACAGATAGTGCAGCAGCTTTTGTTCGGGCATCTCCACTCGATGGATCGAGCAATATATTACATATACGTTGGTTACGCTGGTTGTACGACTAACCGAGAGGTGGCATATTTCACGTCTTACATATGCCTCCTCGTATCATTCGAGTACAACATAATTACGAGCACAAGTCCTATTACTGAGTATACATCAAGCTGAATAATGAGTTTATATTACCTTGCGCGACAACTATCCACTCACTTTTAACGGACGATAGGGTCTGACATAAATCACGCGGGCAAGGGAGTGTAAGGAAGTCAGTATATATATACATGTGTGTGCGTGTGTATAAGCGCAGTTGGGCATATCAGCTGACCTTTGAATTAAGAAACAATCATGCCTCCTAGCCCATCGGGAATCTACCTGTCTCGCAAACTAGCCATGCCAAGAATGAGCAAGGGGTAAAACTCTATCTGATTTACCTCGCTACCTTATAATATAGCCTGCCGTGGCTAGATCGGGTAGCGAGGCCTCCCACGCAACCTTACTTAGACGTCCGTCACCTTTATTTGTATGTACATGCATGGGTGACTTTTATCTCCTCTTACTACAGGCACCCTCAACGCAATCATGGGCTCGCTTCATTCACCCGATGATGAAGGAATTTTTTTCGGTGGCTATACCAGCAATATCGACGAGGAGTGCGGCGAGGCAGACGAATTGCTCCGCCGGTCAAGCACTGACAGCCTCGAGCTGGACGAGGCCCTGTCTGTATACAAGACTATACACCGGTACGTCCGCCCAAGGAAATGATGATAAAAAAAATCAAAATAAACCAGTAGCCTGCTTCGCTGCCCACAGGCATCATGCATCATCTCCCAAGCTGACACAATCTTAGAATCCGGCGGCTGATTATAGCAACCCTCGGTAAGTTGCACTGAATGCAAAGTGAATATATTCATATCTACACGCAATCCTTTTACTTTCCGTTTGTCCTTCTCCCTTGGTCCCCCCCCCCCTCCCACCGGGTCCGCGAGTCTGGTGATTATTAACCCGCACTCATTCTAGAGGATCCTTATACACTCAACGAACTTCGAGGCCCGCGCCTCAACGTCATTATTGTCCGGCCTCTAGTCAATCGATTATATGATCCAGACGATCCATCAGTGGGTAGGTGGAGGAAACAAGTTCCAGATCCCATGAATATATACTACCGTGTCGACTTGTCGTGGCCCGTCTAATCGAGTGTCGTATACCGCAGTCTACTGCCTGTTGGCGAATCGAATCCAGTTCCTGCGGGAACAATCCAGTTCTGCCCAACAGACGGTCAGCATTGCTCGTGCCTCCCTGTGTGAGCTCGTCGCTGCCCGCATCTTGCGACGCTTCAATGAAGACCACGAAGGGCCGCTGGGCCTGCTCCTCATGGCTCATATCCTCGTCGATGGTTTTGATCCTTTCCAGGGCGCTCCACCCGAGATTGAACAAGAACACAGGCATCCCCAGTGGCCCATGCAAAGAGACGATGGCCACGAGAGGAAACTCACCACGCTCGAGCTGGCTATCATCTCGGAGAGCAAAGTCTTTGTCGGCTCTCTCGCGTGCCAACGGGTCATTGACGCCGTCTACGGTGGCAGAATCGTTTACACGCCAATATCCTTTGTGGACATACTCCCAGACCACTACAAGCATAGGCCCATCTCTCTATATGACGCGAGGGCAGCGCCTCTGCTGCCCCATAACCGGCTCTCTGTGCCGCGTATACGTGCCATCATTGAGATTGCCCAGTTCCTCGTTCTGGTGGTTTTGTATATCCTGACCATGACACATCGCAGCAGCTCGCACGTCTCAGCATATGAGTGGGTCTTCATCATCTACACGACCGGCTGGGTGGTGGATGAGTTTGCTTCCGTCATAGAGCATGGCTGGGAGGTGTACACGCAGACGCTCTGGTCGTTCCTGGACATGACATTTATGGTCATATTTGGCGCATATCTCGTGGGCCGCAACTATGACATGTCTACTGGCTCTGTTGCCGATGGCTATGGCTTACACATCCTGTGTACCGCTGCACCGGTCCTGCTGACCCGAGCGGCATTCGCCATGATGCCCGACAATATCGTCTTCATCTCCATTCACGCCATGATGAGGGACTTTACTCTCGTCACGTCGCTGGCAATGTGGTGTTTTACCGGCTTCCTGCTGGCCCTCGTGTGGCTCAACAGCAGCACCAAGACCGACTCATCCCCAGGTTGGATCACAGTCTGCAAGTGGTTGCTCTGGATATGGTTTGGGCTGGACGGCACTGGTTTCAGTCGCTCTGGGGATTTCCATCCCGTCTTTGGCCCGGCTTTGATGACGGCATTCGCCTTTCTGGGCAATACTCTGTTTCTGACGATTCTCGTCGCGCTCCTCAGCAATACCTTTTCCCAGATTATCGCAGATGCTGCCGCCGAGATCCAGTTCCGACGAGCTGTCCTCACCTTTGCCGGCGTCAAGAGCGACTCGGTTTTTGCTTACCCTCCGCCCTTTAATCTGCTCGCCCTCCTGATTCTTCTGCCATTGAAGCCCCTGGTAACGCCCAGATTATTCCACACGGTCAATGTCTTTATGATTCGCGTCTGTAATTTTCCCGTCCTTCTCGGTATTAGCTATGTGGAGCGGCGCGAATCGCTCAGGTCGTCATTATCCCGCAAAACCAAGAACTCCCTGCTACACTGGAACTTCAGTGGTTTCTCTCCGCACGGCGACATCCAGGCTGTGTTCGAGGCTGAACCACCACGGGCCATGCAATCCGAGATTGAGGATATGGACGCCTTGAGCGATATAGGTTACGCTGAGAGTGAACTTGTGTCCATAAGATCAATGTCAATGCGGCCTGTCGCCCGTGGCCGCCGCAAAAGGGGGAGGAGATTGTCGTTTCCAAGGAACGTCATGTTTCCGTTATCAAACGCTCCAACCATGGAGAGGGACATATAAAAGTCAGGGTTAGCATTTAATTAATCATTAGCTAATTATATGTTATTAACAGGGTAGGTAAAATTAATTTAAGTTTTGAAAATTTTATACGTTCCTTAAATCTTATTTATAAGGGTTTATTTATAATAAAATATTTAATAATATCGAAATAAAACTAAAAATAAGCGTTATTATTAATAATTATTTTTATACCGTTTTAATTATTATTTAAAGTATTAAACGCAGTTATTAAAATATTTAATTTTACGTTTAAAAATTCGTCCAAATCTCCCTTTTAAGCATCGTTATTTTCGTCGGAAAATTTAAACGGTTTATAAGATAATATATTTGCAGTAATATAAAGTTTATTTAATTAAGTTAAGTTTTAATTTAAAATTTAATAAAAATAATATAATAAAAAAAAGCATAGCGTTTCATTTATTTATTTTCATTCTATTTAAATACGTTTTTTATATTATTTTAATTAATTAATTATTAATTGAAATTAATAGTTTTTTGAGTTATTAAATTAATTAAATTAATAACTCAACTTAATTAATTTAGTTTGAGTTTACCTATTAATTAAATCATTAAGTTTGAGTTAGCATTTTTAATAATTTAATTAAGTTTAGTTAATAACTTAACTTAATTAAATTTAAGTTAACTTAATTAAGTTAACTTAAGCTCACATTTAATGCTAACCTTGGTTATTAAATACGATTGTAATTAATTAATAAATGGCTTAAATAAATTATTATATTTAATTAAAAGCTTAAATAATATTATAATTAAGGTTAAAAACGGTAACCGTTAAATTAACCGCGGTTATAATTACCGTAAATTAACCGTTATAAAGATAAATTAGCAGCTTAAATATAATTACGGTAATTAATTACGATTTAAATTAAATAATCAATAAAATAATTTATTTATTAAGATTAAGGTTGAAAATGCAATTTGTAATTAATTAATAAAGTTTAAGTTAATTTAACTTTTTGTAATTATAATCCGGACTTTCGCTAATTATATATAGTTATTTATTAATTTAAGTTTGAATTTTCATAATTTAAATTAATTATATAATGTTAGGCGTAGCCCAACACAATAACTAAGCAAATAATTAAACGCGCAACGCTTAGCGTTGCTATATAATAAATTGGCCTACGGCTAATTTATAAATAAGAAATGCATGCTTTTACCACACTCTTTTTATAACCCAATGGTGCCTAACATGTAATTACCTGTTATTATTATAATATAATTAAGGTTGGCATTTAGTTAATTATTAGTTAATTACGCTTAATTAATTACGAATTACGCGTAATTTTTAAGAGTATTAATTAAAATTACGCGTAATTTTTAAGAGTATTAATTAAAATTACGTGTAATTAATTAACAGCCTAAGAAAAATTACCGTAGTTAATTAGGGCCTTGAATAAAACTAAATTACCGTAATTTAATTACTAATTACGCTGACACGGAGGTTAATAAAGGGTGTGGATGAAGTTGTATTATGGATAAGCGTAAAAAAGGAAGAAGGAGGTTCCTAGCTATAGCTGGAGCTATAGCTATAAAAACTCCTTATCGGTCCCTTATCAGCTTATCTGCCTTATTAGGCAATAAGCTCCAGGCCCCATGGCACCACGCGTTAGTTTAATTAATTTAATTAAGTTAAGTTTTATTTAAGGTGCTAATTAAATTAATTAAATTTAAATTAGCATTTTTATGAATTTATTAAATTTAAATTTATTTACTAATTAAATTAATTAAGTTTTACTTAAGCCACTAATTACATTAATTAAGTTTATGTTGATTTAATTAAATTGATTTATTAACTTAATAACTTATATATAAATAATTAAATTTTAAATTATTTTTATTAAAAATTAATAAAAATATAATTTTATTTATTTAAATTTAATAATTAATTTCTTAATTTTATACTTATTAATAATACCTAGGGTTATAAAAAAGTGACTGCGTAGTGTGTTAGGCGTAGCCTAACACAATAACTAAGCAGATGACTAAGCGCGTAACGCTTAGCGTTGCTATATAATAGATTAGCCTACGGCCAATCTATAAATAGGAAATGCATGCTTTTACCATACTCTCTTTATAACCTAATGGTGCCTAATATAATGCATTATATTATACTTAATTTAATTGCACGATTTTTAAACTATAATTTAATTCATTACAATTAATTAAAATCCGGATTACAATTATAATAACTTAAATTAATTATAAACTAATTATAAACTGCATTTTGCAGTTAAGTTAATTAACTGCTAATTATAATAAGTAAATTATTATTATTTAATTAAATATATTATTAATATTATTTATTTCATAAACGTTTTATGAAGCCGTTTTTAAAAAGTTTAAAGTAATAAAAAGCTTTTAAAAATGTTAAAAAATCGATTTATTATTAATTATTTTAATATTATACCGCAGTAACTGCAGGTAATTGCGTAATTAATTTAAGTTATTAAAATTTAAACTTAAACTAATAAGTAATTATATGCAATTAGCAAAAATCCGGACTGCAACTGCAAAAAGTTAAATTAACTTAAACTTCACTAATTAACTGCAAACTATATTTTAACCCTAATAATACCGTAATTTATTTTATTTAATCGTATATTTAATTTAAATAAAGCTTATTAAATAAAATATTATTTTAAAATTTAAATTAATAGATTTTTAAAAAGTAATTAAATAAATAAAAATTTTAACATAAAAAAATTATTATCTTTTTATTTTAATAGCTAATTTAATAATTTCTTTTAAATAAATTTAAGCTAAAGCTATTTTGATAAAAAGCATATTATTCATTTAATAAAATATGTTAAATAAATTAATATTCATAATATTTTAAATAGTTAAATTTTAAAAATCTAATTAGTGAAAATAAACTTTTTAATATTTTAACCAAAATTAGCATTTAGTTAACTATTAATTAATTACGCGTAGTTAAATTTATAACTAACTACGCGTAATTTTAAAGAGTATTAATTTAAATTACGCATAATTAATTAGCAGCCTAAATAAAATTACGGTAATTAATTAGCAGCCTAAATAAAACTAAATTACCGTAATTTAATTAATAATTATACTAATTAATTAATTACGATAAAATCAAAGTAAATTAAATTAAATTAATAAAGCGTTTATTTAATTTTATTAATTTTATTAAATAAATATATATAAGGAAAACAGGGTAGGTAAAATTAGTTTGAGTTTTGAGTTTGAATTTGAGTTAATTTAATTGAGTTGAGTTTTATCCCGGGTGCTAACTAAAATAATGAGTTAAATTTACTAATTTTAATAACTCAATGAGTTTTACTTAAGCCTTTAATTAAATTAATTAAGTTTGAGTTAACTTAATTGAGTTAAGTTAATAACTCAATAACTTAAAGATATTTAATTTTAATTATAAAATAAATAATAAAATTAAATCAAATTTATTATTAACTTAAATAAAAATACGGGATTATAATGCATTAATAGCTTTATTTTTATTATTTTTTATTAATTTTAAAATAATTTTTGAAAATTCTATAAAATAATTAAATAAAAATTAATAAAAAGTAAAATAAATCTTAAAAATCTAATAAAGCAGGTAAATTAAAAAGAAATATAGTGTTTTATTTATTATTTTTTCTTTTATTTAATTATATTTTTATATTATTTTAATGAATTAATTATTAATTAAAACTAATAATTTTTTAAGTTAATGACTTAATTGAGTTATTAACTTAATTTAATTGATTTAGTTTGAGTTTACCTATTAACTAAATTATTGAGTTTAAGTTAGCATTTTTAATAACTTAATTGAGTTTAATTAATAACTCAATTTAATTAAATTTGAGTTAACTCAAGCTCACACTTAATGCCAACCCTGATTATAAATAAAGCCGGCATTTTAATTATAATCAGGGTTGGCATTTAGTTAACTACTAATTAACTACGCGTAATTAACTACGAATTACTCGTAGTTTAGTTAATAATTAACTACGCGTAGTTTTTGGGTGTATGAATTAAAATTACGCGTATTTAATTAGCAGCCTAAATAAAACTACGGTAATTAATTAGCAGCTTAAGTAAAATTACGGTAGTTAATTAGGCCCTTAAGTAAAACTAAACTACCGTAATTTAGTTAATAACTACACTAACTAATTAACTACGATAAAATTAAATTAAATTAAATTAATAAAGCGTTTATTTAATCGTTTATTTAATTTTATTAATTTTATTAAATAAATCTATATAAAAGAAATAAAAGAAATAAAAGAAATAAAAGAAATAAAAGAAATATATTGGGCGTAGCCCAACACAATAACTAAGCAGATGACTAAGCGCGCAACGCTTAGCGTTGCTATATAATAGATTGGCCTACGGCCAATCCGTAGATAGGAAATGCATGCTTCTACCACACTCTCTCTATGACCCAATGGTGCCTAATAAAATAAAAGAAATAAAGAATAAAGAATAAAGAATAAAGAATAAAGAATAAAGAATAAAGAATAAAGAATAAA